TTGTCAAACAGCCTTGGAGACACAGCCTTTGGGGTTCCTGATGAGATGGCTGTAGGAGGCGCATTGAGGCCAAGTCAGCCACAGAAAGGCATGTGCTTTTCCACACCACCAGCCTCTTCTCCCTGTGAGCTCATGCTGACACACTTCCTATCTTGCAGAATTGAGCAAAGTTTATGTGTGGGCTTGCTTGTTCTGAGTTTAGGAAGCTTTGATCTTTCAACTCTAGGCTCAACTCTCAGAAAACAGGTATGGCCAAGAGCCTGCTTGTGACAATCTTTAAGTCATCTTTTGGGCAGACTTGGTAGCAAAGGCCCATAATTAGAGCTACTCAGAGAGCTGAGGCTGGCAAATCCAAAGTCCAGGGAGTAACTGTTCAATTTCACTCAGTTCAGTTCATATGGTGAATGGGTTCAAGGCCAGCCTTGGCAACTTAAACCCTTTGCCAAAATGAAAAATAAATTAAAGAGCCTGGAGTACAGCTCACTGGAAGAGATTTTGCCTAGTGAAATAGGCAAGGAATCCAACATTTTAGCACCAGTTCTAGCATGACACCTTCTCCTCTCCTGCCTGCTTCTGTCTCTGCCCACACGGATGACACACTGACTCCTCACACACCAAGCCCTAGATAAATAGCCTTACTTGTTTTCACTGGGGCTGACCTGCCTGTTTCCACAGGTGTTCACCTCCTACTGGGAAAGTGTGGGAGCCTGCAAGGCAGTGCCAACAAAGAGCTATCTGTCTGCCGGGGAACTCCCAAAGGCGCAGGACACCAGGTCACTCTGTGGCCCAAGGCTGGCAGCGTCAGAGTCTTCAGCTATAGGCAGAAAGGCAACTATCCCCCTTTGGCACATCTCCTTTCCCGGTTCCTTCCACGTTTCTATGCTTAAAAAGAACTTGGACTGCTTATTTCTAGCTCATAGCTGCAATTCTCTCTCTCTCTCTCTCTCTCTCTCTCTCTCTCTCTCTCTCTCTCTCTCTCAAGTTTTTCAAGACAGTGTTTCTCTGTGTAACAACCCTGGCTGTACTTGCTCTGTAGACCAGGCTGGACTCAAACTCACAGAGATCCACCTGCTTCTGCCCCCGCAAGGGCTGGGATTAAAAGTGTGTGCCACCACCACCCAGCAACTGTGGTCTCTTAAAACTTGATGGTTCACACCTGCAGCCCTGGAATTCAGGATGCTGAGGCAGAAGCCTCTTGAGTTCAAGGCCAGCCTGGGCTACCCAGTGAGATTGGGCATCAAAATGAAAAACAAACAGGGGCTGGAGAGATGGTTAAAGTGCTTACCATACCAAGTGTGAGGATCTGGGTTCAGATCTCTATAACCCTCATAAATGCTGGGTGGGCATAATGGTTCTCCCAGCAGGAAGGCACAATGGGTTAGCATTGGGATTTCTTGGAGCATATTGGCTGTTTAAAGTAGCTGTGGAGCAAGCTGGCTAGTTAGACTAGCTTTGTTGCTGAGCTCTGGCTTCAATTGAGAGAGCCTGCCTCACTGAGTAAGGTGACAGCAATCTGAGGAGGATCTGGCATCTACCTTGGGCCTCTCCACATACACAGGGGCACACATACACACATGTGCCCCCACATAAATGCAAACATGCATATGTGTGTGCTTGAACATGTGAACACACAGAAGAAAAACATTAAAAGCAATATAAAATGCACCATTTCCTTCCTTAACTTACTCCTTTTGTGAGTCCTCTGCCCCCTCTGAGATGGTTCACACAGAAGGTTCCCAGCAAAGTCACTGTCTGCTTCATGCGGGTGTCCCCTGCCAGCCAACCCAGTGCAATCCCAGCATGGGAGGCAGCATGCTGACTGACCCACATATCCTCTATTCTGTAGCATTCAGGCCCCTATTTCCTATTGGTTCCCTCAATACTGAAGACAAGACAGTACACCAGCAAACCCTTAAATGATTACAACTTCTTTCTTCTTTTTCTCCCAAACTAACTTACTGAGCTTGGAATTTATTCTTTATTTTAATAAATTATTTATTATTTGTGTGTGCGCGTGCGTGTGCGCGCATGCCTGTGTGGGTCCACACATGGAATCAAACACATGGAGAAGCCCAGAATTAAAATTCAAGTGTCAAGCTGGCAAGCTGGGGGTGTTGTCCCACACCTTTAATCCCAGCACCAGGGAGGCAGAGGCAGGTGGATCTTTGTGAGTTGAAGGCCAGCCTGGTTTACAAAGGGAGTTCTAGGACAGGGCTACACAGAGAAACACTGTCTCAGAAGAAGAAGAAGGAGGAGGAGAAGGAGAAGAAGAGGAAAAGAAATTCAAGTATCATTCCTCAAAATATGTCCACCTTATTTTTTGACTGACCTACTATCCCTGAGGATTCATCTGTCTCCTTCAGTTCAATGCAGGAATGATAAGTGCCAGGCATCCTGTCTTTATTTTATTTTTAAATTATGTGTATGGGTGTTTTGCCTGTGTTTTAGTTAGAGTTTTATTGTTGTTAAGAGACACCATGACCATGGCAACTCTTTCATTTATTTTGTTCTATTTTTGGTCTTTCAAGACAGGGTTTCTTTGTGTAGCCCTAGCCGTCCTAGAACTCTCTCTGCAGACCAGGCTGGCCTCAAACTCACAAAGATCTGTCTGCCTCTGCCTCCAGAGTGCTGGAATTAAAAGTGTGCCCAACCACTGCCTAGCCCATGGCAACATTTATAAATTAACCCATTTATACTAATCTGTGTATCACTATGTGGCTGTAGCTTACCGGTGATGTCCTGGCATCTTGCCTCCCCAGGGGCTACATGGTGCCCTCCTCTGCCTTCCTTCTCCCTCTATCTTGTTTGGAATTCCTGCCTAGGTATATTTTGCCTGGCTGTTGGCTGAGACAGCTTTATTCATCAACCAATAAGAGAAACACATGGATACAGAAGACAGAAGAACATCCTACATCACCCCATAGTGATGTGAAATTTTAAAATTTCAAAGTCTGTTGTGAGATTCATGCAATATCTTAACTATAATCCCCTGTAAAATAAAAATCAAAAAGCAGATCACATACTTCCAACATATAATGGAACAGTATATATATATTACTGTTCTAATACCTTGAAGGGAGTATAGTAAGGAAACACTGAACCAAAGCAAGACCCAAAACCAGCTGGGCGAACTCCAGACTCTGCATCTCCATGTCAGATGTCAAAACCCTCTTCAGATCTCCAACTCCTTCCAGCTTTGTTGACTCCATCATACCTGTGCTGTTTCTACTCCCTGTTAACAGCTCTCCTCAGCAGATATCCCATGACTCTGGCAACTCTAACATCTCCAAAGCAACCCCGGCTTCACCTTCACAGCTTCAGACAATGGCCTCTCCAGGCCTCCATTCAGGGCCACCCCTGACACATGCCTGGCCTCAGTGGCTTTTCTTGGTCTCAGAGGGAGACTCCATAACCCCTTCTATCCTTGATTCTAAAGCCAGAACCATATGACTAAAGCTGCCAAGCTCTGTTGCTTGCCAGGGCTAGAACATGGTCGCCTGTTCAATCACATCTTCATGGGCTTTCTGGTTTTGATGGTTTTGGTCACTGCCTAAGCTTGGCTGTCCTTTTCTGACAAGGGCAAGAGGCAACCTCATTAGCCAAAATATTACAAAAATAGTCTCTAGGCTACACACAAATGCTCTTCTCTTCTGAAACCTCCAGAGCCAGGCCCTCACAGTTCAAATCACCCTCAGAACCACTATCTTTGATGCTCCTATCAGTATGGCCCATTAAGTCCCACATAAAGCATTCAATGGCTTTTCTAACCCAAAGTCTACATTCCTTCCAACAAAATCATGGTCAGGCCTATCACAACAATACCCCAGTCCCTGGTACCAACTTCTGTCTTAGTTTGGGTCTTATTGTCACCACTACAGCCTACATGTATGTCTGGCACCACTTGAATGCTTGGTGTCCACAGAGGCCAGAGGTGGGCATGGTCGGATCCCCTGGAACTAGAGTTACAGATGGTGTGAGCTACTATGTGGGTGCTGGCAACTGAACAACACCTAGAAGATGGGTTGGTGTTCTTAACTGCTGAGTCATCTCTGCGGCCCCTCATTCAGCTCTTAAACTGGGTTCTGAGGCTCAAATTCAGGTTGTGACACTTACATGGCAAGTACTTTACAATGAGCTATGCTGCAACTCCAAATTCTTCTTAATTTTTTAAGACAAGGGCTCACCAGGCTAGCTTGCTTATAGCTTGCTTAGCCTCTCAAGGGCCGGGAAAGCATGTGTGCACCGTCAGGGCCAGCTATCAAATTCCGATATTTTGGCAGATGGAAAAACACGCACCAGAGAGATTGGGACCAAAGGTCACGTTAGACCCTAAGTTAACCTGTAAACCCTACCTGTCCGAGGACCAGTTAACTTCCTGGAATAACTTCCTGGAGTTGTAGTTCTTGAAAACAAAGCCTCATGGCAAAGTATGGTGGCCTTTGGGTTTTGTCTTTATAAGCCCTGCCAACGCCAACATGTGTCTTCAGGTGCCTGTCCCAACCAAATTCTATTGTGGTTGGTATTAACCCTTTAATAAAAGCTTGCTTTAATTTGGTCAAAATGGTTCCCAGCCTGGGCTGCGTATGAGAGGCTGTACCCGGTGGTGGCCCTTACAGCCCAACAAAGCTGTTTGTCACACCATTTCATCCAGGAAGAATGGATTTCCCAGATCAGATCATGGGGGACCCCCATAGGCTCTTATTTCGTTGGGTTACCAGCACCCACAAACTCAGAACACCAGGGGAGAACTGGCTACAGTCACTCCGCGCCACTGAGTGGCGACCACCACTCCCAGACTTCCACCCCCAATTAGAGCCTATTCCGGGAAGGGGCCCGAGGTGTTCACTAGGCCGTACTCTCTGCCCACGCCCAGTCTGGGTCTCATGACTGCCTAGAACCAAGGGTGATGATATTGGAGAGAAGGAGGGTGCGGCGCCCCGCCCCGTCGCTTTGTCACGTGCCACGCTCCAGGAGGCGGAGCCGAGCCAGTTTCTTCTAGGGTCCCCGCACGGAAGGCTCCTAGCTTTCTCCGTCCTTAACTCTTGTCTTGTGACACCAGGTCCACCGCAGCCAAGATGATGTGTGGCGCGCCTTCCGCCACGCAGCCGGCTACGGCCGAGACGCAGGAGATCGCCGACAAGGTGAGCCGGTCCCGGGTCAGGTCAGCAAGAGCCAGGCCCTCGGGGACGCGGTGGCCTAAGGGAACCGGCATGCCCAAACTCGTCCGGGTCCTGCAGCAGGATTCAGGCGCGGTCCCACATGTGGCTGGGACGTGGGACTCTGGGCCTGGCTGGAGGATTCAGAAACCGGGACTGGGTCGTGTTTGCAGCTGCTTGCGTGCGAGAAGACCGCCCACCTCGTAGGAAATCGAGATCGGTGGAGGGGTGGGACGTCCCTAAAGAGTTCAGGAAGGCAGTTCACAGTGCTAGAGCCCAGGGGTAAAACCAGGCTAGTCCAAAGATGAGGCATCCTCTGACTTCAAACTAGGCATAAACAAGAGGCTCGATGAAGCACAGCCTGGGCTACAATGAAAGTCTCCTCAAAATAAAAACCTAGGGATGTATAGCTCAGTGGAAAGATGCCTCACTCCACGCCTTCGTGGGATGGGTGGGGGGAGAGTTAAGTTAGTGCCTAGATAGCCTAGTCTGCAACCAGAGAGTGGACCTGGTTGGGAGGTGCTGGTGCATGCTCAAGAGATGATTTGTGAGTCCCAGCAGCCCGTCCTGTGGCTGTTTGCAGAGAAGAGATTCTACACAGGCCAGGGAGGTTATGGGTATTAACCAGAGGAAAAGATAAACCCTTCAGCATTCCAGCCACCTCCCAAGCCCAGGGTCCTGTCCATCAAGCTGAGCTGTCCTCAGGAGGTTTGTGCTCTGATCAAAGTGGCCAGGAAGGAGTGAGTCAGCTCCATGAGACCGTGAAAATGAGGAATTGATACAGACACATTTGCTCAGCCCTCCCCTAGCAAGCCCAAGCAATCCTCTTCTGTCATAATTCTTAGCCTGGACAGAGTTACACTCCTGACACCGGACCGGGTACACTTTAAAGGGAATCCTGGCCAGGTGGCCAAGACAGGAGAATTAGAGTTTGAAGCCAGCCTGGTCGACATAGTTCCAGGCCAGCCATAGCTGCACAGTGAGACTGTGTCTCAAAAAAAGAGCTGTGTTCCCCTTTATAGGTGTGATCAACAGCTTACCATGTCTCCCGCCCTGAGGAACAAGTAGTGTTGAGGGCTGACAGGGGTAATCCTGAGAGAGGCAGGAAGCTTCTGCCTATGAATGTAAGTCCATTCCTTTTTTTCCCCCGTCCATCATCCAGGTGAAATCCCAGCTCGAAGAGAAAGAAAATCAGAAGTTCTCCGTCTTTAAAGCCATCTCCTTCAGGCAACAGGTGGTGGCTGGCATCAACTTCTTTATCAAGGTGGGTGTGAGTGTGACCTGGGAAGAACTGAGCAGTCTCAGAGTATAGCAGAGTGTTCTGCAACTTCTTCCTTTGGAGGGACAGCCTTTAAGAAGATACATGCAGGTTCTGAGACGATGGATTTTGGTACCAGGGTTCCTGGCCTTGGAGGAAGAGACAGGCATTGTTACTGGCCCAGTTGCTGGTGCCCTGTCCTGCCCGAGGTCTTCGAAGTCCGGGTTGAGCCTGGAGATGGGGCCTGACCTTTTGCTACTGGGCCCCTTTCTCTTCCTCCAGGTTGATGTTGGTGATGATAAATTTGTGCACTTGAGGGTGTTCAAAGCCCTTCCCCATGAAAACAAGCCCTTGACCCTGTCTTCCTACCAGACCAACAAAGAGCAACATGACGAGCTGAGCTTCTTCTGATTCTGCAGCCCCTTTGCCAAATACTTCATCTCTACTGTGTTTGGGACCACAAAGTAAATAGCCCTCTGTGATGGAGGGGGTGGAGTTAGGCAGCTTCTTTTGTGATTCTCAAACTGCATTGTGTTTGTTTTCTTCCAAATAATTATTTTCAGAAAGCTACACATGATCTCTCTAAATATATATGTTTTAAAGTCTATACAAACCGTCTCTTTGGTTTAGAATTTTTCCCTTTGTTTAAAAAAAAATCACAGTCACCACCAGGTGGTGGTGGCACACACACCTTTAGTCCTCACACTCAGGAGGCAGAGACATGTGGATCTCTGTGAGTTTGAGGCCAGCCAGGTCTACAGAGTGAGTTCCAGGACAGCCAGGGCTACACAGAGAAACCCTGTCTCGAAAACCAAGACAAAGAAAGAAAAATTACAGTCACAACATAGATATGCCAAGAAAAAGTAATTGTTTACTTGCTATTTTAAGTTTTTCTTATTTACTCACCAGTGTGTGTACACATATGTGAATATATACATACATGCCATGGTGTACATACGGAGGTCAGAGACAGTCTAGAGGAGTTGATTCTTTCTACTGTATGGATCCCTGGGGTAGAACTCAGCTCATAGGGATGGTAGCAAGAGTCTTTAGCCACTGAACTATTCATAAACTGGTACCAGGCTCTGGTTTAACCCCCAACATTGTAAAACACAGTTATTTATAGCTGAAATGCCCCAGCTGGTAGAGCCCCTTCTGTGACAGGCATGATCTGACCTAGCCTAGGAAAATCTTTCTGGAGTGACCAGGGTCACTAAGTCACAGCACCTAGGTAGGAGAGTCAGGTCTCACAACGTGGCATCCAACCTTCTGCGAGGCTGGTGACGGCTCACCCATGTCTCAGTCTCCTACGCAAAAAGGCTGAGCCCACCAGTTCTAGAGTGTCAGGCTGGTGGGACACATTCACATGGTGCATCACTCACCACACCACAGCTGTCAGATAGCTGCACAGCTCAGAGCACAACCTGGGCCTGTGTGTGTTCCTAAAGCGGAGGCATCCTGGCCAGTCTGGCTTTCAGACTGCCTCCAGTTAGGAAGGCCAATGGTCTCCCCAGGGGGTCGGTGTCATCCATTAGAAAGATGAGTGGCATTTCCCGAGTTCAGAGTCATGCTATAAACACATTTCTGAGGACTGCTGAGCTACAGGCAACTCCAAGGCATGTCAAGACTGTAGAGAGTGTGCAGGCACACTTATGAACCCTGGTGATAGGGCCAGTGAGGGACCAGTGATGCTCAGAGCTGGGGAGGAGGTGGTGAAGGATGAATAATGGGCTGAGCCTCCTGGACCTCATAGGACCTCAAGAATAAACCTGTAACTCAGAGGCCGATGCCTGTGTAGCATTCCAGTGCCAATTAGATCCCCAGCAGCACCAGAGACAGTAGACAGAACATGAAATAGGAAATCTCCTTTGCACCAGAGACCTGACATGTTCCTGGCCAGGAAGTTCTGTGCAAGGCAGGTAAGGCAGATGCCACCAAAGGTGTAAAAAGGGGCCAGTCTGTCATCCAACAGGAAGGGCAGTGAATCAGCAGCTGTGACACTGGAAATCCCTTCCACACCACAGTGAGTAACCAATGCAGGCAGAAGTTTAGGATAGAAGCTGTGTAAGCAGGACAGATGGAGGTCACTGTAGGACAAACACACAGGCTCTAACTGACACATGGCCTGGTGTGAACCGTGGTGGCTAAAGTGGTTTCTACAAGGTGCTCGGTTTCATCAAATGCTTCCTTCAGAGATCTTGGAGGGAGAAGCAGAGTGGAGGCTGCTGGGGAACTCTTGCCAGGGCCTGAGACACAGGGTATGCACTGTGATGGCTGCTCTAACTCGAAGGGCTCGTTGCCTCCTGGAGGAAGTGTGCAGAGGAACAGTGTCACCTCAAGCCACCCTAGTGCTCCCACTATGCTGGAAGCTGTTAAACAGAAAAGTAGGGAGGGGGTGACTGAGCTCTGTGACCTCTGATCCCATGACTAGGAGCATATGATTAGGCAGGGTGGCTCTCCTCATGGTGACCAGTAAGGCCGATGGAGCCAGGAAGGGACTAAGGAAGTCAAGTTATATACTCCAAAGGCACAGTCCCAGTGACTCCCATCCTCCAACCAGGCCCCTCCTCCTAATGGCCATCCAGCTATGAACTGGTGCCTCGATTAAGCCGTTGACAAAGTCACCCTCACATGCCGGTCACCTCACAACATGCTGTGGGACCAAGCCTCCAGTGCAAGAGCTTATGGGAACAATTCACAAACCACAATGGACAAGTCTCACAGATGTGAGAGGTGGGGAGTCTGATGGGTGTGTGAAAGGGTCCATGTTCCAGTTGAGATCAGCAGAGGAAGTCACAGGAGCTAAGGGTCTCCCACTGCCCAGGCGGCAGGCAGCAGAGTGACAGCCCTCAAGGAGAGAGCCTGACCTCAAGGCTCCCTTAGGACAATGCTAAGACATCCCTCTTGGATGATCTGTGTGTCCAGTACAGCCGGGGCTGAGGACTTGGAGGCCTAGCAAGCCCTGGTAAGGAGGCCTGAGCTTCTCACCCAATCAGGATGCTGGGTCCTTGGCCTCACCACATCCTCATTCTGGAACAGTGGGCAGACAACAAAGTCATACCCCTACTCACTGGCAGTGGATTATATCCCTTTTAGAGCCTGGAATCAAACCTTACTCGTGATTCTGATGGACCTGCCTTCCCCCAGGCTCTCCTGCCTGGGCGATGTGAACAAGTGACTCGAGATCAGCAAAGCCATTGCTTGTGACTGGGGCTATAGTAGCTTGGGCTTCTCCCAGTGCCTAAGGGTTGAGCACTGCTCCAGAGTCCGGAACATGTGTGATATCTCACCACCTCTGCCCTTGGAAGGATGATCACTGGCATGCTTGGGTGCTGTGCAGTCTGCCAGCATCACCATGTGCTGGTCCTCAGCATTTCTAACACCTTGCACCTTGCACCGAGTTCAAGTCTGGATGGGAAAGACAGGTGAAGGGTGGTGTGAGATGCCCAGCATCAGAAAGATGGGCTCTGCTGAGTGGGTACCTGTGTGGTGAGGCCAGTTTGAAAGTGCACTTTCTGTCTCCACACATGAAGCCAGCCCTTTTACAGTGTTCCTCACACTGCCCTGGAATATAGGGCATTGAGAAGGTACTAATTAGAGCATACTCCATCCTAAGAGCCTCAGGGCTTCACTCGAGATCTCAGATCTCTAGAGTTCTCATTACTGTTTTGAAGTCTGAGACCTTTGCACCCCATGCCTGTCTAGCCAACCAGAGTAGCCATGCACTCACTGGACTGGTTAAAGTCTGTAAGAGCACTAGCAGGACAGCCAGAAATGTTGGAAGAGGAGTCAGGTGGTGCTACCACACCCTCCTGCACTGTCAGCCTACGGGGCTTGGGGGGGGGTGGATACTGTTAGGTGCACTGAATGGATGAGATTAGATCCTTATTAAGGCAGTGATAACAATACATGTAATCATAATTGGATACATGTTGTGCAAGGGAAAAATTGCAGGCCTGAGGGGTGGAATCGCTCTACTCCCAGCATGTCCAGAGTCTTAATGGACTGCTTGGAGGCAGCATCACTGTTTCTGCCTGGATGTCATCAGAGTCACTGGAGAAGTAGAAGGAACTGTGGGTTCTGGGGGCCTAGACCTGGGAGCTTCCATGCATAAAGCTCAGTGGTGTTTCTACTGTGAGGCTTAGGGGGAGCCTTGAGAGCTATGGGAGGCTCAGAGCAGACAGTGAGCGCTGCCGGAAGTAGATACATCCAGCAGCCCACATGGGCGCTAGGAGCAGGGTGGGGTTTGGGGGGATGTGGATGGGGGGGGGACAGAAGCTGCTCTGGGCCACAGTTAAGTCCATCCTCCAAGAATAGCTGGGTCCAGGGCTGGAGAGATGGCTCAGAGGTTAAGAGCACTAGTTGAGCCAGGCGGTGGTGGCACACTCCTTTAACCCCAGTACTCGGGAGGCAGAGGCAGGCAGATTTCTGTGAGTTCAAAACCAGCCTGATCTACAGCAGCTAGTTCCAGGACAGTCTCCAAAGCCATAAAAAAGCACTGGCTGTTCTTCCAGAGGACCTTAGTTCAATTCCCAGCAACATGCCAGCTCACAACTGTCTATAACTCCATTTCCAGAAGATCTGACACCCTCACGCAGACATACATGTAGGCAAAATGCCAATGCACGTAAAATAAAAAAAAATAAACTTTTTTAAAAGCTGGGTCCAAGCCTGGACATGGGCACCAAGGCATATTGCCCAGAAACTGTCACAACCAAGTGCTACAATCCAATGGCTTAGAACTTACTCTCTCAAGTCCTGCTTGAGGTGCAAACTCAAGGAGTGGGCAGGGTAGAAGGTGCTGCGAAGGACCAGGGAAGCCATTTCCCATGGGTGTGTCTGCTGCACTGCGTACACACGTGGTGCTCTTGCCTCATGCCCTGGCTCTGGGCTGCCCTTCTCCATTCTCTGCCTCCCATCCCACCTCCTGGGTCTCCCAGTTTCCCTTTTATATAGACACCAGTCATCACCTGAACATCCAACCTAATCCATGTGACCACTAATTTCATCTCGACTGCCTTTCTAACTCAGGTCATGTGCACAGGCTCATGGTATCAACATGGAGACATCATTTGGGGATCTGTTTAACCCTAGGATACTGTGACAGTGAATACCAGGGTCTAAGGGGGTGTCTTCTATATCACACCCTGTCCTGAGACCTCACCTACTAGGCTCTGCTCATGCCAGCTGCCACAAAAGGCCACCCTGGGATGGGGACATCTTATCCTTCTGGCTGAAGTCTGAACAGGGGCTGCAGGCTGGTCTGGAGGGATCCAGTGAGGTCCTACACAGCTGCATCCCATATACAGCCCAGATGTATGCTCCTTCCACTCAGTGAGGGGCCTGGGGAGTGAGACTATCAGGCTGGTCACTCCAGGTGTCTTGTCCTGGTTCCGGGACTACGGTATCCCTACAGGGCCATTTTTGGAAAGAAACCATTGCTCTAGATCTCTAGGGTGGGGCCTTGACATCCCGTGGCCATGGACTTCAGTGCTCTATCACAGGTCACCTTCTTAGGACAACAGCCATGAGGTCATGTCCCAACCCTGCCTGTCCTCATCTGACTTAACTGGGATGCTTGGAAAGACCTGAATACAAAGAAACAAAAAATCC